CCTTGTCTTTCCTCTGTCAGGGTGACTCTGGTGGCCCCGTGGTGTGCAATGGTCAGCTGCAGGGTGTGGTGTCCTGGGGTTACGGATGCGCTCAGAGGAACAAGCCTGGAGTGTACGCCAAGGTCTGCAACTACAACTCCTGGATCCGCAGCACCATGTCCTCCAACTAAAGTCACTGTACAGTCATTTGTTGTGAGACACTGAAGTGTGTAAACTTTCAATCCATAAATAAAAAAATGTCAACCTACTAACAATTTGACTTCTTGGCAAATCACCACACATTTCAGCAACAGCTAATTAATTTTCAGAATAAAAGCATGCTGGAGCAGCTCATGAATGCACAAATCTTAACTCTAAAAATCAAAAACACTCTTACATAGAAATACAAAAGTGACCTTTATTGTTTTTAAGACAAACTATAGCATAAAATGATATACAACAGAGCAAAGTGTCCGTCCAGGAAACAGCTTTTGAAATGTTGTTTTTTTTTCATGATCCCAATAAACTCAAGCCTGACGAGGATGAAATTCAGTCCACAATATGACAAACATGTGCAAAGCTCATATTCACTCTCAAAATGTAATTACAAAATACTGATACGAGTTTGAAATCAGTACACGTTGACTTCAGGGCAAGAAAACATCAGCATGATTTGAAGTTTGAAATCAAGATTCACAGTGGTCATACAGTAATTAGATACATCATGATGAGGTGGAAGTGTTTGAAATCTGCTGAATATCAATGACAGTAATGATTTTTATTAGACCAAAGTGACCTTTTCCACTCTGTCAATTCTGTCACACACAGAAATCAGTATATCTGTGAAATACAGATTGTAGTGGGATGCGGAGCAATAAGAATAGGCAAGGGATCAAGGGAACATTTTAGTGGCTATTTCATTTCCTCCAATGTCTCCAAATTAAACTCCTATTTTCCATTATTTGTTGTGTCATACAGTATCGTTTCTGCATTCATAAACAGGGTTTTAGCGCCAATTACATTATTCAAGGGCTGCTTCTCGACAGGCTGCAGTCCCCCACGGCACAATCCAGCTGAATCAAATTTAAACTTCTCCATCTACAGCTCTAGTGTTTCACTTGTAAGGAACGAAATCATAGAAACTAAAGGTTACATTAGTGGCTTCTACCTGAAACCTGCTTCCTAAACGCCATGAAAACAGATTCAAAAATTTCATGAAACACAAGTCAAATCATTTGAAGTTCTCCGGGTTTCTAACAGTGTTTTCATGCTGTGTAGTCTCGAGCGACAAGGAGCCCTCTGTTGAACGTAGTCGGAACACTGAAAAAGGTGCACCCTGTTTGAATTTAGGCTACTACACCTGACCTCTAGCATGCATCAAATAATGCTGATAAAGGTCTGAAATGGCTGAATATGCATTTCCACACACTGCGCACTGAAGACCGTCTGAAGAGGCTTCGTTTGAAATGCTGGCATTTTGTGTCATGTGTCTTTTTACAGTTCTTAAAGGTGTAATAGGCTTTCCAGGTGTGTTTTCACCTACTCTTTCATGACTGGTTTCTCTGTCTTCAGTCGAATATGTCCTGCTGGAATGATGCTGCAAAGAATTACCCAAATCAGGAGCCTGACTATGGACGAAAGTAACCATGGGTGCGAGAGGCGACTCTTGAGAGGCTGGATATTTGGATGAGAGGCTCAGAGGAGAGCCGTTTTCCTCAGACGGTGCACGTAAGGTTGATATAGTGTTGTTGGTGGAAGGGCTGAGTGTTTTCTTATTTGACTGTGCACTGTGATCAACTATGAATAAATCGAAATCCTTGCGTGTGTCTGTCGAGGAATGGCAGAGCTGGTGGCTGAACAGCAGGTCTAAAGTCTTAAAGCTGCATCTGCACTGCTCACACTGATAAGGCAGAAACACTTTCTTAGGTCTGACCTGCACCCACTGGAACTCCGGGTGCTCGCTCATGTGTTTTCTGTAAGGCTCCACGAACCGAAAACCCTGCCCGCACTGAGAGCAAGTGAAGCGGCCGCGTCTCTGGCGATGGATTCTCTGGTGATGCCACAGTTTTTTCCAGTTTCCTAGCGTCTTACCACAGCAGGCACAGGAGTAGCTTTGACCCGAGGCGTGCGTTAGCATGTGGGCCCTGAGCCGGCCCATGTGTCTGAACAGCCGCCCGCAGCTCGGACATAGATACTTCCTGGGGTCTGACCTGTTGTCTAGCTTGTTTAACTTTGACACGAGGTGCGAGTGGTGATGAGCCGGCATGACTGTAGACTGGAACGGCTTCGTTAAGTTCGCAGGGCGCTTCTTGTGGTTGGTTTGCGGCTCTTTTTTCTGTGGTGTGTAATTCGCAGCAGGGAGAGCAGCTGAATTGTTTCCTGATGAACACCTAAGTGCAGGCACGGAGTACTGAATTAATGACATGGTCTCCTCCTCCTTTATGACAAAGGTGGAGGAGGTTTGCTTTTCTACTTTACACTCACTGCGGTGGGTGATAAACTCAGACAGCACACCAAACAGCTTGTCGCAATACAAGCAGCGATAAAGCTTCGCGCCGGTGTGGTCTCTCATGTGGCTGTTGAACTCATGCAGATGGTCAAAAATGTTCTTGCAGATGTGGCAGGTGTACGTCAGCGAAGGCTTTACGCGTCTGTTGGGTTGTGAGCCGTCGCTGCTTCCCGAAGGTCTGCACGTGTGATTTTTCGCATTGCTATAATGTGTGAACGATTTTTCACAGCGCGTGCAGTTGTAACGCTTCACAGACCAGTGTGTCAGCTCGTGAACGCGGAGGAAATAGGCCTGACCAAAAGCTTTGCCACATATATCGCACTTGTAAGGCTTCTCTCCAGTGTGGACGCGGACGTGTCTGATGAGGGCGGACTGAAATGGGAACGTTTTACCGCAGTATTGGCAAACTTTTCTGTCTCTCTTCTCTACTTTCTGAACACCCTGCTTGTTTTCACTATCGCTGCCTCGGCTCCGTTTTTCAGACTTGTTGTTCTTGCTGTCCTGGTCCAGCTCTTGTGCGTGCATCTTCATATGAGAGGCGTACTCCGAGCAAGAGAATTTAATCTTGCAAAACGGGCATTTCTGATATATGTTGCTCTTCCTGTGCGTCTTGAGATGAAGATTTAAGTTGGAGTTTTTGCTGAAACCTTTGCCACATTCTTCGCATTTGAAAGGCCTTTCACCGGTATGAATGCGTTGATGGATGACGAACTGAGACAGGAATTTAAACGTACGACCACAGTAACCACATTTCAGTAGTGTTTTACCCCCTTTTTTCGTATAGATGATGTTTGGGTCGGAGCCGTCTTCCGTAACTGCGTCACCACACTCTGCTTTTTGTTCAGTGTCACCACTGGCTTCGTGGTTCTCTACAATCGGCTCTTTCGGTAACAAAACATTCGTTATTCTTCTCCTCCTCTTGCCGCCTCTCTTCCGCCTAAAAGTATTTTGCTGAGTGTTTGGAGCCTCTGACTTAACCGTGGCGTTGGCACTGTACTGAAAAGCTTTAGGAGTATTTGACTGTGACACAGGATTTAAATGATCCACCTCTATCTCTATATTCTCAGCTTTCACAGCAGGCAGGATCCCAACAGATTTAGGTGTTTGCTCAGATGACGTTACGATGTTTTTGGTAGAGTGCTCTGATTTCTGCAACTCTGCCTTTGTTGGAGATTTAGGGGTTTTGGACTGCGACTCCTCACTGCCATTCACATCTGCCGAATGCTTTATTTTATCATCATCAGTTGGAGTAGTGCTTATTAAGTTCAGACCCGCTACAGGAGTACCTTCAGGTTCTGTCTTGGTATTTCTTTGAGGTAATGCACCTTTCTTTAGTTGCGTCTGCTGCTCTTGTCCTTCTGCAGACGGCGAAGGGAGTTGATCGCCCTTTCCATCCCTATCAGTCCCTTGTTGGTCAGCGCACAGCTCCACCTGTTTATCTGTCTCTGCTTTCCCCTCGCAGTCTGTGTTGTTGCTCAACACCGGCAAGGCCTCCTGGGAATCATCCAGCTTGGACACCTTCGCCGGAACTTGTTGATCAATACGCAACCTAGTCCTTCTTCTTTTAACACCGGGAAAGTTGGGCGCTTCAGTTTGCTTTAGTTCTTCCGTGCTGTGCGATTCAGACTTTCCATCCTCTGTTGAGGGATGCTGCTGTCGTCTGCTCCTTAGCCTCCGTGCAGGGACGCTAATATTATTAGCATGAGGCAGAGCAGGGGGAGCAGGGGGAGCAGGAGCAACAGGCTTTGACATAGTGTTTTCAGAAGCTGTGACTTCAGGTCTTTTTGGCTGCCCTCTTCTTTTTCTTTGCCGCAAAGAGACGCCACCTTTTACTTGATCATCCGAGGAGGCAGCATGAGGACCAGACATCTCATTATGGGGTGAATCATGGATTAAGTGACCATCTACGGCGTTGTGCGAAACATCACTGTGGTTTTCTAAACAAGTTGGCAAAGGTATTGTGGTGCTGACCTCCTCGTGCTGAACCGCATCCTTACCAGCAGCATCCGGATCTGTTTTCTCGTCGGTCAACAGCTGGTCTGTTCTGCGACGCCGCCGACGTCTGCTGTGGACTTCTATGTGGCCGTCTGTTGTGGAGCTGCACACGCTCGCAGAAGTCATTTGAGACACTGCTTCCATCCCTACTTGCGACGACACGAGCTCGCTCTGTCTGCACTTTAATCCGCCTACTGTTTCAGAGCCGACATGGCCATCGGGCTCCAGGCGTCCAGATGAGTGGGACTCAGGGGCAGGTTGATTCAGTTCTGCTGCTTTCATTTCTCCTTCCCACCTGGAGTCTAGGTCTCCCTCACTGCATATACTAGCTTCAGGTATCTGTGGAAGAAAAAGATGCATTATTGTTGCTGCATTAATGGTTTTGTCTTAGCAGTCTCCTAAAATGACTAAATGAGCTGTCATGACAGAAGCATGCTTAATAAAGGAGTAATTGATACTACATATAGGTTGTCGCCTGAATTGGAAATACAATCTCATGCTTAAAAAACATTACATCTACATTCCTTATTATAAACATACATCTTGAACAAAACCATTATACAAATCAGAGTGGAATCAAACTGTATCTGTGTACATGTATACCAGGCAGCCTTGTCATATAAACATAGCATTATAATTTAATAGAGTCTTGATAAGTCAAACTTCAAATGATCCTGTATACAAGGGGGTCGACCGATCATCAGCCAAGCCGATTACTGGATCCATTATTCTGGATTTTTCCGAATGTCTGCAATTTTTAAGAGATTTGCAATAAAAATCTTCAAAAATGTGGCTCTAAATTAGCCACCTCTCTCGATCTGAAGTCAACACAAAAAGCACTGTCTGACTTATTCCATGTCACAAACGATAGCCTATCAACACTGAGGGATAAATGTTGAAAAGTCCTCTTGTAATTACACAATCTAAATTAAAAAGAGACATTTCAGCTAAATTTGGTATTGGTGTTTTTATTTTTAATTTGCAAAATCTGCAAATGTGTGACAGTTTCAAATACTGGGTCTCCTTGTTTAATATTGATTGATTAATATCGGCCCTAAAAAAAAAAAAAAACATACTGGTCGACCCCGACTGTATACTGTACAGGACAGCATAAATTGTGGGGTGACAGGTTATTTATCTCTTACTAGCTACCTGCTTGCAGTCCGAAGGCGCATGAATGGGACTGCGAGGATGAGGTGCCACAGAAGTTAACTCAGACACTGTATTTGGGTCACTGCTTCCTCTGCCGAAGGACATTTTACTCCCCATGTCAAGAGTCTGTGGATTAAACAGCGACAAGGAGGCTGTAACGCATAAAAATTGTGACGTGTAAAGCAAAGTGCTAGAATGCCTGGCTTGACTGTAAAAAATGATCCAGGCCTGAAAAAAATTTAAAATCGGAAGTCAACGGCATATTATGGCCGTTGGCACAATAACCTCCAAGTGGCTGGTTGCATTGTAGTTGTTTGAAGGTAATGAACATACCAATGCTTTCAGACGAAAGGACTGCTGTAAATAAAAAGTGGTTCATTTTATAAAAGGGTTTTTCCTGCATTGAGGAATTTCTGGTCTCCTCCAAAGAGGTTTTAATCAGCACCACGGGAACACTAGCCAAAATAATGAGAAGTGATGACAAATCTAGCAATTACTTTATTTATTTATACCAGTTTTATTGATTGGATTTCAACTTACTCAAGTGTAATTTACATTTTTGTTCAGCAAATGGTCAGAAAAAAACAGGAAAATGCATAGACTTCTTTCAAATACGGTTCGTTTTCGGATTAGAACTCGTTATGGTATTGATTAGGGGGCAGCACGATGTTCATGACACCTGACATTGCAATATTTTGTTTTTCTGCGATATATAATACAACATGAAAAAAAAAAATCATGAATTTTAACCACATGACTTGAATAACTATTTGGAAAGAATTGATCGTCCTCGAATGACTGGAGTGGTTTTTGTAAGTTCATCTGCATCAAAAACAGAAATTCTTTGGAAAAAGCCTCATATGATGCAACACTGGAGAAAGGGATCCAAAGTGATGCCATGGTGATTTAAATGGCCAAAGAAATTCATTTTGTTGCCTTGTGTGGTGGCTACAACTGCAAGACACTGCCAACACAGTACCTGCTGTTATATAAATCAGTACATTAATGCGACTATTGTGCATCGCAATGCTGATGCTGAAACGATATGCTGTGCTGCCCAACTGCATCGGCACTGCAATGTGTGCATGCACAATGGCTGCATTGTAGGAGATGCAATGTGAAATATGGAAAATTAACTGAAACACATCATGCTAGGACTTTGGGCACAAAAAGAAAACTTCCATGTTTCTCATTTTGTGCGATGACTCCACAAGAGACATCTGTCTCATTGAAACTTTTTGACATGCAGGTTTCACATGTGCACAGAAACATGAGTGAGAAACAGGAGGGAAAAACTGAAAAGGAAGAAAGAAGAATGCAAGAAGAAAGTTAATGCCAAGTGTGTGGAAATACGTCAGCTCCAGAAAGGATGCGCAACAACAGATACCCTGGAGGCAGTTTCTTGCAATTGCTGCTCTCACAAGAAGCAACACAACTAATACGTTTGACAGTTAATGACCAGTGCAAAATCAGCTCTGAATGCCATTCAAAGCAAAAGCGTTCTGCCAGTGATAAACCACACAGTAGCTTTTTTTTGAGCTTTTCTTAAAACTTATTTTCAATTTGTGATGCCTCATAATCACCTCAATCATTCCAGGATGGGTAATTCTTTCTAAATAGAGACAATTCCTATATTTTTTTTTAACACCACACCAATAAAAATCCCCTAATAATATGTACATCAGCAATTAAAACATAAATGCAACACTCAAGGAAGGGAGTGTTGTGCATAACAAATACATTTTGCTGATAATACTCACATTTACTTAAGTAAAGCTCCTCATGCAGGAGTTACTGAATACTTCCTGATTATAACAGATCACACTCGCAGAACCTGGACAACATGCACTTTGGTAGATGAGTGCAGCAGATGGAACCAATAAGGTAATAATTGTCTGGATGTGCAGCAGCTGCTAATGTCACTCCGCCTTTCATCTCCACTGCAGACACGTTTCATCTGATGGAGACTCTCTGTTGGTTTTTTCCACACACATTTAAGCCTTTTGAGACTCACTTTAGCGTGTAATTTCAAGCACCTATGACCCACCAGGCAGCTTCAGCATCCAGTTGTCATTAAAAGGCAACAATTAAAGTTAGGCGTTATCACTCGGTAGGCCACACAGCTAGCTATGGTTATTTACCGTTACAGGCCACATGGACTTCACTTCAATGTCAGCTCACTTTCTTGACAGATTATACAGCCCATTACTCGACACCGGCTACCGAATGTGACGGGTGGTAGTAAACACAAAGTGCTTGCCTGCGTGGGAGAGAGCCAGGACTGGTTTTCTGCGTAGCCATGCACTGACCGCGGCTCAGCTAGCTAGCAGAAGCTAACTCGAAGCCGTGGAAAAACTCCGCTGCTTCGCGGCTCCTTGGCACCTCTTACGTGGGGTTCATTTGTCCGGGAGCCGAGCCGCGGACGTGAAGCCCGGCCTTTTCTCTTCTTCCCCGGGCAGTTTGCAGAAATGCACCGCTCGGTTTACACGCACAAAAGCAGTCCGAAAAAGCGTCAATCACGCCGAGCGTACAGCAAGAGTACTTCAGGTGCGGTGGGAAATTTAGCGGATGTGGAAGTTTAAAAGTGAAAAATACGACACAAAAACAGCAAATCTTTGTCAGGGAGTGTATTGGGAATATATGAAAATCTAGCCACATGTGACAAATATTTACTTCTACATCTGCCCCCTTTTGCTAGTAGTTCTGCTGGTACAAGGAATATGATGCTAATGTTAGGCTACACTCACAGGCAGGACGTGAACGCCTCACGCACGCATTTGGATGACAGCCATGCATGTTTACCTCATCATCAATGGACTCACAACTGCACCTTGTTTTGGCTCTGAACTGGCCCCCTCTGCTGGTTGTCATTAACACAAGTTGACAATAAATATACCAGAAAAATAGAGAATTTAGAGGCAGTTAAAACTGTTGCATGTAACTGGTAAATTCACCGTGTTTGAGAGGGGCGCTGAAAATGTAAGATCAAGACAAGCACAATTAACTCTGAGGAGGGCTGTCAGCTTAAGTAGTAGAAATATGTCAAACTGAAAAAATAAAGAGTCATCATGTTTAATTTTTTAGCTCTCTGCCACTAAATCAAACACCCCACAACATACTGGTAACAAACTTGAAGACAAGCCTGTTTTCCAATCTTACCTAACCCTTAAGCTTTCCATTTTTCAAATCTTTTAAGATTTAATATCACTTATTTTACACACTTGTGCTATATTGTGATTCTATATACTTGTTTTTACTGCAGTAAGCTGTTCTATTATAAATACACTCCCATCAAGTAAAAAAAAAAGGCTCAAAGCACTACACAGTCACTTTATCACTTGACTAAACTGACATCATAATTTGCTGCATCAGCCCATGAATACACACACGCACGGTGAGTTTGAAAATATAGTTTAATACATAATATACTGAATTCTTAAAGTCTGACAAAGCTGGTAAGAACACACAAGGTATTGCAGCCAATTCCCACAGCTTCACAACACATTCTGATCATACTAAAAACATATTTAAAAAAAAACAAAAAAAACAAACAAAACTATTATACAATACCTGGTTGTCCCAGCGAACATTTTTCAAACGCGATTTACACCCTCTTTACCCGCTGCAGGAGCGACAACTTCAAACTCTTGGGAAGTCAATATTGAACTGTTTACTGTACTAACAAAAGAAATCCAGCCTAATTAAGATGCATGTTTGTTATCACTATTCATTCTACACTTGTCTATCTTTTAAAGTAGAAGCCAGGAAGCATTGTGTTCCTGTGCGATGAGCCAAGTAGATGCCATTCAGAGAGGGAGACTGCTGTCTCTATGCGCTTGGTCCATAAGTAACAAAAAGTGTGACATGCAAACTGGATGTGCCTCGTCAAGTGATGATAGGGACAGATGAGGTTACTTGGTAAATCATCTCAGCAGGTTTGTCTGGTCCGCTTTCAACAATGTAACAGTCATTGTCAATGTCCACATCTGTACTCCCATTGACTGGAACCACTGATGGCCCTTTGTCCAGGCCGACAGCCATGATGGGGTTCTTCCTGATGCTACCAGAAGATGGAAGCCCGAGTTTTCTCTGACCATTCATCTGAGCAGGATTTGGGCTCATCATCGGTGTCATCCTCTTAAGTTTGTAATGCTGTTTGCCACCTTGCACTTGCTGCGCCATAAACTCCTGTGCTTTGATACATTTGTGCCTCTGGAGCAGCTGCGGAGTTTCAAAAGCAATACGACAGACTCTGCACGGGAACCCCTTCGTCGCAGGGGATATCTGGGTAGGTTTGCTCAGTCCACCTAATGAAGAGTTTGTGTGCGTCTTTAACTGCACAGAAGGAGCGACAGAGAGCCTAGGACGGCCTTGGCTGAACATTCTAGCGACTGGACGCTGACTGGACACTGCACTGGGACTCCAATTCTTCAAATGAAAAGATGAAGCAGCATGAAGCCCCAGACTGTTATTGTATGGTCTGATATTCTGAATTTTCAACTGCTTGCTTGGGGTGATGTGAGCTGCATGACTGCCTGTCCTGGTTGCGTTGGGAATCTGGTTTTTCAGATGCAGGGGGGAAAAGACCTGAGGCCCATGGACACTCAGATTCTGTCTCCTATCTGCACTGGCGATATTTAGTGTCTTAAAATTCAGCGGTTTCGCAGTGATGAGTCTCAATTTGGTCGTGTTGTTGCGTGAGTTACAAACATGGAAGCGAGGCACTAACTTCTTGCTGGAGAGCAGCAGCCCACATCCTATACAGCCAGAAATTTTATCTGTGACATGTGAGCTCTGGTGGGAGATGACAGAGGTCTTTGTCATAAAACCCTGCCCACATTTACCACAGGTATATGGCTTTTTCCTGCTAAACATGCGCACCGTTTGTATTAATACAACTGGCTGATACAGTGTCCAAAGATCCACTGTAGGTGCACCTACACCTGCAAAAATATCCTGCATGTCTGTTGTTAAGGGGACAGGGTTTGAGAGCGAAGATGCTTGTGACATAGAGGGATGCAACTCAGGCACTTGTGAAATCTGCAAAGACTGCATGGGACCTTGTGACATATGAGCTGACGTATTGGGTACTTGAAGAACCGGCCTCATTGGCAACGAAACTGACGGTGCAATGTCCGATCTGGGCGTCTTCCAGACCACTTCGCCTTTCCGTAACCTTTTCAGCTGCTCCTCCTCTTCTCTGCGTTTCTCAATCCTGCGTTTCCTTATCGTTTCGTGGTCGAGCACTTGGTGGCCCGGTTCGTGCGTGGTGCTGTGCTCCAGCATGTCTCTGTATTCAGTGAACTCTGTGCCGCAGGAGCAGATGAAACTGGCGGAGGAGCACACGTGTTCCTCCAGGCATCTCCGATTTGCAAATATCTGCTCGCAGCTGAAGCAAAACTGTCCGGTGTTCATCAGGTCGGTGCTGAAGCCATCCACCAGGCCGTGTTTCTGTTTCTGCCTCCTTCTCTCCATGATGAGGCTGGGCATGGGTGTGTTCACTGCCGATGTGGAGCCCACTGGAGCACCTTTCCTGCTAATATAAAGAAGCTTCAGATTTGGTATAATCACAAACACAATATGAGTGAACTGAACAAATGCTATTGCTTAATGGTGTCTGATAGCAGGTGGTGCAGATGGGCTAAATGTGCTAGCAGCTATATGTGATGAAGGGACTGTATGCTAAGCGATGAAGGGGGGATTTCACTCTATTATGAAACATCACTTTTTGCTTCATTTGAACGATATTTGTTGTTTTCTAATGGCTGCTCCAAACTTTTAAACCAGCTAATGAACTCTTAACCTAATTATTAAGCATACACACCACGGGCTGTCAAAAACACCCTCCAGATTTATCCCACCAAACAACACGTCGACATAATCACCATAAAAATGTCTTTTACAGGTAGACATTGTCGAGAATGCTCTTAGTAGTCTAGTTGTACGTTCATTAACGATGCTATCTGAACGCGGGCTTGCCTTGCTACTAGCCTAGCATGCTAACGTCACCCAATGCTGCCCTAAAAGACAAAAACGTTCGCTCACCGTCACATGAAAATAAAAGCGCCGCCGCGTCAATATTCTCACATTTCCTCGGGAAAAAACGCAAAAATATCGTCCATTGTCGTGTCCAGAGACAGTCGCAGCCGGGCTCCGTCGCCGGTGTTTAGCAGGTAGCAGCTAGCCTGACAGCCACACCAAAAAAACAAGAGGAAGAGAAAAGAGCGGCTTCTTCCTCTGCGGATGGCGCACTTCTGCGGCACCACGTCCGGGTTTGGTTTCCTTATACTGACACCTATCTGCGGAGGCTCCAGCTCCGGCGTATCTGCAGGACCGCAGGCCGCAGCTTCAGGACCGCAGTGGCCGCGACAACCCACCCAATGGCCGGAGTGATGGAGAAGGTGCGGCCAAACTCCACCCAGACACTACGGTCTGTACAGGTACGTACAGTTACTCACCCAAATACTACTTTCTCTCCAAGAACGTTTGGTTTTACAAAGAATCTGTACGCGACTTCCTGTCCAAGTACTTATACATTTAAAGGTTTATTTCACCAAAACACTACTTTTTTAAGTCACACTATAGTTTTAAGGGTACATTTTTAGGTAATGATTCTTGTTTTAAAGGATGATTCCACCCAAATCACTACTTCCTGTCCAGGTCCTTATAGTTTTAAAGCTTATCTTACCAAAACACTACTTCCTAAGTCACACTGTGTAATTGTAAGGATAAATCCGAGCTCGTAATTCTTGTTTTAAAGGATTATTCCACCAAAACACTACTTTCTAAGTCTTACTGTATAGTTTCAGGGATAAATGCTTGCTCATAGTTCTTGTTTTAAAGGATTATTCCACCCAAAACACTACTTTTCTGTCCAACTAGTTATAATTTTAAAGGTTTATTTCACCCAACATAGTACTTGCTGGCAAACAAGTTCTGGTTTAAAGATTTATTCCACGTAAATATTACTTTTTAATTAACACGCTCTGGTTTTAAAAGGTTTATTCCATCCAAAATAGTAGTTTTGTCTAATTAATTAGAGTTTCAAAGGATTATTCCAACTTATTACTAGTTCTTTGCCAAGCACTTACATGTTTAAAGGTTTGTTCTGCCCAAATACAATTTTCTTGCATATTACTTAATTATTGTTATTTTCTTGTACTTTCTTTCTATGTTTTTGGATACTGCTGTTTACAATAATTTCCCAGGTCTGGGACAAATAAAGTATATTCTATTCTATTCTATTCTATTCTATTCTATTCTATTCTATTCTATTTTTGCTTCTTTCAGACATTTCCCTCCCCAACTAAGAAGCGTCTTCAGTTCTAACTGACTGATGAGGAGTCTCAGATATAAATCGTTGCCCCTGTAAGGCAAAGGCTGTGTTTCCTCATTTACTCACGTCATCTTTTCAATTTCTCATTTACCTATGTCGTCATTTGTCCACGTCATCTGCTCCGTTCATCATTTCCCTGTGTAGACATCAATTACTCGAGTACCATTTCTCATGTGTGGATGTCCTGATGGTGTAAACACACAAATGATGTCAATGTCTTAACTAACATGTGCGTTAACCACTCGCGCTCCCCAACACTCCAAAGACAAGCAGCCTGTGCAAAGGCATGATTTATGTCCATATAAGTTAATTATCAAGAAAACACACCACCACAAAAGCCTTTTTCAGGAGTAGAGGACATTGTCAGCAAGGTTCTAATAAGCCCTTTTAGATTATGTTCCAGTAGATGTTGGGAATTAAACAGCAGGAATTGGTTTGTGTGTTTCGTTTTACTGTAATCGTTATGGTTGAACTTCACCTCCTGCCAGATGTGTCCTGCTGGACCTCCGCCTGTCTGCCACCTATTTTAAAATACAATGAGGGTTTCTACAAACAAAAGCATGGCTCTGTCACAGGTTCTCCAATTTCACCCATTGTGTGCAATCTCTATATGGCAGAGCACTGAGCTCTTTCAAGGAAACAACACCCAGCTAGGTTTAGGTATGTGGACGACACCTGGGGCAAAATCAAAGCCTAAGAAGTAGAAGTTTTAGGGAGCATAACAACTCAGTGGACAGTGATATCTACTTAACAAGGGACAATAGAGGTACAATAAACTGCCTTTTTTTTTTTCTTGCAAGATTGAGGTTTACAGGAAACCTACTCACACAAACCGATGCCTTTTGTTTGACTCCCACCACCCACTGGAGCATAAACTGGGCTGAGACTGTAACTACCAAAGCAGAGGGAAACGCAAAAGGAGCACACTCACTTAAAAACACATGTGGTTTTCCCAAATGGGCCTCTATGAAGTCAGCAAAGACATCTGGGGAAAAAAAGCCCTACAGCAAACAAAGAATCAACAAGCGGAAGAACATTATCATCTCTTATGTAGCTGGAATGCCTGATTAACTTAAAAGGATTTTCTCGAAACACAGCATACAAGTTCACTTCAGTCCGAGCAACCGTCCGAGGCAAAAACACCCAACAAAACACCCTGAGGCTAAAACACCCAACACAATGTCAGCAGCATCGTATATCCAATGCAGCAAGGAAAGCACATACCTATATATAGGGAAGGCTGCTCCTTAGGACAACACCCAGCATCCCAAAGATAAGCTAGAGAACCTCAGGGCAGAAACATTTAAGACAGCTGGTTTAAACGCAGAGTGAAGGAAGCCATCTACTGTAAGCTGGAACAATCATCTCTAAAAAGAGGGGAAAAAAAATCTATGACCTCAATTAACAGCTACTTATAATGCAGTCTTGAGATCTCTCCCCAGAAAGTTTCACCATCATGAACATCTTGTGTCATCCCTGACCTGGCAGTTTCACACGTTGAGGCATGTGGCTGTTAAGTTGGGGGTCACAATATATCTCAGACTTCCCGTCAGTTAGAACTGAAGAACCCTCTTGAAAGGTGAAACATCTTCGAAAACTCTTAGGATCGCCAGGATCTAGATGCTTGAGAATCTACACTGACGTACTGCGGCAAACACTATTATATTAGCTTTTAAGCTCGCTGTGTCTTTGTTGCTATTAAACATACAAACATATCTGGATAAGGGCTATGCTAGGAAACATTTGGTATGAAATAAATCTCAAACAGGACATTGCCCTCCTCAGTGCACCCAGACGCCATCAATCAGTTGCTTTATACCCTCTGTCAACCAAGAGGGGCAAATAATTCTACTTGTTATAATCGATGATGCTTGCCTGTCCTTCTGTTCATCTCTAATTACAGAAACTGAATCTAAAAAAAAAAAAAAAAGTATGTTAAAAGTTCAAATGCAGAATAAACGGGTCAGCAGACAGTTTAAATGTATAGTCAGGGCTTATGTTTGCATCTTTGTTGTCTTCTCATCCAGATAAAAATGTATTCATTGAGTAGCTGCAGAGATGAGAAGTGCTAGTCCTATAAATAGATAGAGGTCTAGTCTTACAGAAGATATAGAAGTAAATTCTGGTCATGAACTTATCCACATGAAATACGTTGGTGCTGATTCTGACACATAAACATAAGCACTGTGAGTAAATTAACAAAACATGATGATGGATAATTGTGTTGCATTTTGTTGTACCGAGCCGGACCAGAGTTTCTAACATTTAGCGACCAGTTGAAGTGGGATCAGTATCTTACTGGTAATC